TATTGTCTTTTAGATGTAGCAGCAATTGAAAAACTTGTTTTCCTAATCGCTTTCTTTATTCCTTATTTTTTAAGCCAGTACTTATTACATGTTATAATTATTTTTTGGCATACAGGGATGTTTCTTTACACTTGATGATATTGATTATCTGTTGTGTGTTCATTAATTCTCCTCTATCAGCAGATTTGATGGTCAAGATTCTCGTGTGAATGCAGAGCATATTGAAATTCGGTCATCTGGGAAATCGCCTTGGACACAAAATGAGTCAGAAAGATCATTAAATAACTACAACATCAATATTCCTATTAGTGCTCCCACTAGTCCTTATTCAAGTCCTGTACCAAGCCCTCCAAGAGGTGGAAGTGATTTTCTTGCAGCTCATTACATGACTCCCCCAAGTATTTTTCAAGCTTGGTCTGCAGTGGAGGTGCCACATTCAGATGCAAATCTTGGCCTAGGGTTTTCCTACCAAATACCACCTGAGAAAAATGCATCAAATGATGACAATTCTCCCATCCATAGTCCAAGGGCAAGTTCCCGCCGACGTACAACAAATGCTACTAGGCCTGTATCATGGCATGAGAGCAACTCTCAAGCCACTGTACATCCCTTACCTCTTCCTCCTGGAGCTGCCTTGCCTTCACAGGCCACACCAATGTCCCCAAAACCATCTAGAACTGAATTTCCAGGATCTCCCCTGCCTTCACAGCCAACTCATATATCGCCGCTTGCACTTAAATCTGATTTTCCAGGAGCTACCATGCATTCAAAGCCTACCCCAATCTATCCAGCCCCAGTTAAACCTGAATTGATGCCTATTAAAGGTCAATGGCAAAAAGGAAAGCTTATTGGGCGTGGGACATTTGGAAGTGTGTATGTAGCTTCAAACAGGTATGCTGCAGATACAATACATGTCCTTTTTCCAAGATTTCATGTGGAATCATAACCTATCTAATTGTTATCATCAACAGAGAGACTGGAGCCTTATGTGCCATGAAAGAAGTTGAAATTTTACCAGATGACCCAAAATCGGCAGAGTGTATGAGGCAGTTGGAGCAGGTTGTGTTCCGCTTTAGCTGTTTCTCTTGTTTTGGTATTTAGAATCCAGCAGTCTAACAGCCTAATAATGTAATACATACGACATTTTGTCGAGCTCCTCATATCGTTGTTGGTATTTTTTAAATCACAAAATGTTGGATTCGTATAGGGCTATAAGCTGATATTGGGTGGATTTGATTGATATGCATATCTAAGATATCAATGGAGGTTGATGATTTTTTTCCTAGCATAGTGCCGATGTGTATTTGATACCAGAGGACAAAGCTAAGCAGAAGGACAGGAAATGAGAGAAGAAAGAAGATTATAAATAAAAACTGCAACTTTTCTTTTTCCTTTTTTTTCTTTACAAGAGTACAATTTATTATTGAAAAGAATTTTGCCTTTGAGTTTGTGACTGTTAAAAACTGCAGCTAAGGTGACATTCTGAAGCACTTACTCCATTCATTAACTGCATACAATTCTCTAAATGCTTTGATCCTACTTCTTATGGGTGTCTGAAATTTTGGATTTGCTTGTATTGCTTTATAACATTGATCAATAGGCTCTTCTATACATCCCTAAATATTAAACTAAATAAATAAAACGAAGATGCCAGATTTAATATTTGTTATATATTTTTCATGCTGATTATTACTCATCCTATTTGGGAATTCTTTGTTTATATTTTACAAAGGTTTCTGTAAATATTATTTGAATTTTTTTTAATTATTTTAAACGTAGGATCTTGTGCTTTCTGTTAAATTTTTCTTTTTTGGCAGGAAATTAAAGTGCTCAGCAATCTGAAGCATCCGAACATTGTGCAGTATTATGGTAGTGAAATTGTAAGTCATTATCTTGGAGCTTAGATTTCGGCTTTAGGTGTATAAACGCTCTGACAAGAGTCTCAATTTATGTGCATGCAGGTTGGTGACCGGTTTTACATATACCTGGAATTTGTTCATCCTGGTTCAATCAATAAATTCATCCGTGACCATTGTGGAGCGATAACAGAATCTGTAGTTCGCAATTTTACTCGTCACATTCTCTGTGGGCTGGCTTATTTGCACAGTACGAAAACCATACACAGGTAACATTGATGCATTTTGTGTGTTGATGGATGCGGCAACAGAATCCCCCTGGGAATTAGGAGAAGATAACGATTATTTTTTGAACTTCTCTTGATGGATTTAGAATCCCACAAGGATTAAGACATGAAGTTTTAGTTATGAGTTTACTTGAACATCATTTCTGTCCTGATCAATTCTGAGCCATCAAATTTTATAGGGACATCAAAGGTGCTAATTTGCTCGTTGATGCATATGGAGTTGTTAAACTTGCTGACTTTGGGATGGCTAAACATGTGAGTTTCAATTTCTCCAAGAATATCAGATATATTTAGTATTAACAAGAGAATAGCAGAAACCTGAAGGATGTCTGACCATTGACCAATAGACTGAATGGTGTATAACGTAAAGAGGCCTGTAAAAGCTATTATAACCTTATTGTCCAGGTTCTCTGGAGTGGAATTTCTTTTTGTGCATTTGTTTGTCCTCTATTTTTAATTTTTTGGGTGTTAGTAGTTGTATTTGCATTATTCAAATTGAATAGTAGGTAAGATAGTAATTGTCCTTTATTTATTTATTTATTTTTCTCTCTCATGGAAGCATGAAATGTAATTATATCTGCCACACACATACAAAATAAGTTGATATCTGGTAAAGATCAGAACTGGAAGACTCTTGTATGTACGGTAAGGCTCTCTTCCGAAACTGGTGAACTGTTGCGCAGAAAGGCCGACGGAAGCAACGTTTCTTAGCGCGCTTTTTAAGCACTTCTGTAGTTGTCTATTTTCATCGCTCCAACTTTAGTCGGGCCTAGTTTGTTTTCATGTCTAGACAGATTTTATAGTTTTCATGGTGATTAAAGCACAGGTGAGATGGGATCAATTTTGAATGCTAGAACATGGTTGTCAGTATAGAAAAATTACATGCAACTTTTCCCTTTTTTCAAGTAAGAAAAGTTGAGCTCAAGAGTCCACCAAAAGTTGAAAAATTCTTCTCATATTTTGCCAAACTTCTATGCTTAATCACCTGCCACCCGTTAACAGTTCAAAAATATGTGAGAATGAATGTGGAAACTAAATTTGCGAAAGCATGTCAAACAAACACGTGAAACTTGAAATAAAAAATAAATTGTTGATCAGTGCTGTTCTTTTATTTCCTGGTAGATTCCAACAATTTCACCACTTTTGATTGTTATAGTGGTCTCGAATCTGAATATTACATGTTGATCTGCAGCTGACTGGGCAAGCTGCCAATCTTTCGTTAAAGGGTAGTCCATACTGGATGGCTCCTGAGGTACACATCCTTTCCAACCTCAGATTATCTATCCGTTGTGACGCTTAACTATACTGATGAATGTTAACATTCTTGCAGCTCTTGCAGTCTGTTATGCAGACAGATGATAGTTCTGATCTTGCTTTAGCAGTTGATATATGGAGCTTGGGCTGTACTATAATTGAAATGATGAATGGAAAACCCCCTTGGAGTGAACACGAAGGGGTAAGCTCCAGATGATGATTGATATGATTGTTTTGTCATATCTTGTACCTGGCAGACATTCTGAATACAAATAATGTGGCTATGATTAAAGCCCGCCTCATAGTTCTGGACAATTAACACTTGTGATAGTTTAATTTTCTTTAGATATCTTATACCGGGCAGAGATTCTGAATACAAATACTGTGGCTATAATTAAAAGCCCTCCTCATAATTCTGGACAATTAACTCTTATGATATTTTAATTCTCTTTATTTCGTGGAATATTATTTCTATCTAGGTCATATTGTTGTCACAGTCGAAGTTATTGCTCCATGAGTTGCTCAGGGACATGAAAGAGACGAACTGTGCCGAATAAGATTCTGTTTGGACTTGGATTGAAATCGTAACAACCTCTAATATTAAGTTCAAACCTGACTGGTTGCAAGCCAGTGCTGAATAAATTTTATCATATCACATCAGAAGTTGAGCTCAGTTTGCTTGATTCCTTTGAATTTATCAATATGCTTTGTTGAATGAGTTTAAACTGTCTCAGCTCCCATTATACTATTGCCATAACTTTACATTTCAATATTGTGTTGCTTGAGTTTTGTTGGACTTCGTGAATAGCATTAATATGACTTGATATATGATACTGGTAGCTGATTAAGTTGCAGAGTTGTAGGTTTTCTGATCATATATAATATTTGGTGTATTGAATCGATTCTTTAGTTTCATATAGTTATTCTAGCCAACTATATGTATTACATTATAATTTTATATATTCGCAATTGTAAAATGGTCTCTGTATTATGCCTTCTTTCCTCTTTGTTAGTCAAGCTAGGTAAATTTGTGATCTGATAACCTCCTTATTGTTGATCCATATAATTCCATTCAGCCTGCAGCATTGTTCAAGGTTTTAAAGGAGACCCCATCGATACCTGAAACAATGTCGGCAGATGGCAAGGATTTCCTGCACCGATGCTTTAGAAGAAATCCAGCAGACAGGCCAACAGCTAGCATGTTGCTCAAACATCCATTTGTGAACCAGTCAGTTAATGAGATAAAATCAACGGTAAATTACAATTTTTGCTTGCTGCCTTTTCCTATCCTCTTTCTCGATGCTGTTAATTTATGCAGTAATAGTATGCATGATTCCAACAGGATGATATAACACTTCAGCAACCAAGTTATAAATTTGATCAAGTGCCTGTGTCCACAGACACACGGACCACGAAGAGCAAACTGCAGGCTGTCAAGTAAGAGTTACATCAGCTTTTCTCTTCCCTTGCCTTACCTACCTTGCATATTGATCATCACATACACCTGAAAAAGTTGTACAATTGGCATTTGACTTTGCATCTTTCGCCTTCAGCTTTATGCGTGATTCTTTTTCTCCAGTGAGACTAGCCAACGAAGTCACCTTGAAGTATCCAATTTAGCCATGGTTCCACTTCTTTCTCCTCGTTTCAGCTCTTGAGGCTCTTCCTTGTTATCCCCATCGTGCTTGGGCCATGCATTGCCCGGAGGCCACCAGCATTCCAGCAAATTTTCCTATTACTCACAAATGGGGTGAGAATAAGAAATTGTAGAAGGGTAATGGATCTGCCACATACTTTTTTTCGGTGTGGTTTTCCCCTTGAGATCTCTCGATTCATGATAGTGTCAAAGAACTCCGTCAGTGTGCTCTTACAGGTAGCAACGTGCTTAGGGCATGTTGGGTAGCCTCAACTGGACATGATTATTGTGAGAACTCAACTCATGATCGTGTGGGGATGTCGGTATTCTTTTCTAGGTAGCTTGCTGTCCAGGGAGTTGGAGCCAGTAATTTTCCTTTTTGATGTTGACTATGAATTGTAGATGTAGGTTTTTATTCTATTCAATGAAGTAGAAGGCTTCAACAATCTTGGCTGAGAAAGGATTGATTTCGTTACTTGTTTAATGGATGTAAAACATAGTAGTGAAAAAGGACTGGTAGAGCTGGCAGCCTGGCACAAAGGTTATTGAAAATATGATTTAGCTAGTTGTACTCGATGTAAATTTTCCATAGGTTAGGTTAAAAAGTGTAGTGGAAGTTATCTTGAACTGTTTTAGTTTGTGTTCTCATAGATTCATCATGAGATATATTCACTATTAAGATTATGAGATTCTAGTCTATTTTGGAATTGATTCGAATAGATATTCTACAATATTTCCTTAAATGTCTTGATTTTGGATATGTAAAATAATTCTTAAATGCTATCATAAATAGGCACATCCACATGCAATGTCACTTTTGTTAAAAAGTTATGTTTGTCACTAAAAAAAGTGATAGAAATCAAGAGGGTGATTGGAAAAAATGACAAATACTAAAAAAAAAAAGTTGTGAAAATTCAAAAACAAGTGACAAATGAAAAAAATTTTAAAAAGTGGCAGTAACATAAAAAAGGTGATGAATTCAAAAAAGTGACGCAAATTAAAATAAGTTACAAACATTAAAAAAAGTGAAAGAATAAAAAAGTTAAAATTAAAAAAAAAAAATGACCCTAAAAAAAGTGACAAAATAAAAAAAGAAAAAGAAAAAAGAAAAAGTGATACAAATTCAAAAAAGGCGACAGAAAAATAAAAAAGTGAAAAATACTCAAAAAGTGACGAAATTTAAAAAAAAATAAAATTGACAAACACTAAAAAATGTGACAGAAATAAAAAAAAAAATTAAAAAAGTGACAAAAATAGTACAATGTTGATTTTCTTGTTGACAAAAAATTGTCTATAATTAGATTCGTGCAAGATAAGAAATCATCCTGATGTAAAGCAATTTTCACTTTCCACGCACCTCCAACCATTTCAACATTTATCTACAATAATATTTGTACCCTACTTGTAGTTACACTAGTTCAACTTTGAAGTATAACATGTCAAAATTCCACTCTCAAGAAATTTCTATTCTTACATTATCATAATTGATCAACTCAATTGATGGTGAGCTATTGGCGCTCACTTGCAGAGCAAATGAAGGCTCCATAGAGTTAACTTATTTTCTCCACCTCCTATCATAAGCCTTAAAACAGGTCACTATCAGCTACAATTAGAGATATAATGCCAAACAAGACATCAAGTATTAATTATAAGAACATTATATATAGTAGGTAAATGCAGTAAAAAAGTAGTCATTAAAAAAGCAACACAGTTGACTTCAAGTGCAGTGACTTTGTCAACCACCCTTATAACGTCGTCATCACCTACAGTTGCACCAACTTCCAACCCAACCAATCAGTCAACTTAAGTCTCACCACCACAACCTTCACAAAATCCAGTAGGAAGTCCATCCCAGCCACCAAGATTGCCATCTCCACCACCAACACTTCCACCAGTTGTACCTCCACAATCAATGGTTTTATTGCCAGTACTTCCACCGACTATACCACCAACACCACAGGGATCCCCTGCACTTGTCCAACAGCCACCACCAACCCTAGCCCCCAGCAATAAAGGCACCTGCTCCTGCACCCACAATATCCCAACCAATTCCACCACCTACGGCACCACCAGCGCCAGTGCTAGCACTACCACCACCACAACCTATTGCATCACTAGTCCCAACACCAAATTTGGTTTTCTCACCTGCACCAACACTAACACCTAGCATGCACAAGAAAATGAAGCACAAGCATAGACACTGACAGTGTTCTAAAAGGCGCTCCTAGGCGCGACGCGCATTGAAAACGCCAAGCAAAGGGGGTAGGAGCGTAATTTAGCGATCAATCGAAACCCGTTGACTGCTAATTCATGCCTTGGTGCCCATAATTGTGCCAAGGCGCGTATTACCTTTTTTTTTTTTTTTTTTAATCACGCTTCTTTTAAGTTTTAAACTAAAAATTAAATCCCAATTTTCATTTTTCAGTGCCCTAATTGAAGAGTGAAGACAACCTCCCGAAGCTCCCAAAAATTCCTCTATGACTGCAATATCTCGACACTCTCTTACAACGGTTGCCTGCTCGATTGTCTTCAACAAACAATTTTCAGTTTCTATATGTCAATAAGTCAGGCGGAGAATTATTTTAAAATAATATTAAAATAAGCAAAACTCTTTTTAACGTTTTTTTACGCATTTGCCTCCCCTAATCTCCCCTACCCTTTAGCTTGGAGTCAATGCATTGTCACACATTACGCCTTTTAAAACACTGGACACAGACATAGGCACAAGCATGGGCATCATCATGCACCAACGCCTGTACCGATGTCCCAAGCCCTCAAGATGCCAAGGAAACAACACCAGTACCATCTCAACAGTCTCCAGCCCTCTACCCACCCATAAAAATGACGAAATCGTAGTTTTGAGACGATTTGGGGATTTCTCTTCGTAATCTATTGGTTTGGGGCTTTTGGGGTTTTGAGGGCATATTATTTAAGGTTATCAAAGGTTTTAATTTGGTTGAAGTGTATTATCTAATTTGTTCTTTTTTTTTTTTCCGAGTAATGGGCTTCATTTCCTCAGTTTTGACCCATTTTGAGTGATACCATTTATGAGGAGTTGAAAAAAATGGTGTTTGCTAGTTTTTTTGTCTGGATGGTTTAAAAACCACCCAAAATTGGTGGTGTAATTTTGCTCAATTCACCATATCAACGGGTTTTTGTCATTTGTCATAATCTCTTATAATTTTATCCTCTATAGAATAATTATTTCCAACCAACATTTTCTTCAAAATTAACTTATCAATTAAAATATATTAACTAAAAAATTATTTATAAACAAAAAATTACATTGTAATTAAAAAAAATATTAATAAATAAAATATTACTTAATAGGTAAGAAAATTTCATCATAATTAAAAAATTACTTATAAGTAAAAAAATACTTTTATGTAAAAAAAATTGTTTATAAAATAAAAAATAAGGTAAATATTCACATATGAAATATACAAAGTTACTTATAAGCAAAAAATTCCCTTAAATGTATAAAATTAACTTAAAAGTAAACATATCGATTTAAAACTTTAAGTAAATAGTAAACTTTAATTATTTTTTTAAGTTAGATATTAACTTATACGTTTAAAAAATTATCTATACGTAAATATCACTTATGAGTAAAAAATTTCAAGTAATATATTATAAAGTAAAATTTTACTAAGGGACATATATTTAATTTTATTCTTTTAAAAACTTTTGAAATTGTTAAATAATAAACTCTAAAACATAGATTGAATAGTTTTAAAAATTATTATAATTCAAAATTGATTCGTTCATAAACACTCAAAATCGATGCTTGAAAAAAAATCATAACTCGTCGAAACTCCCAAGCAAGCCATTAAGAGTGTGTGTTTATTTTTTTTCTTTGTCGAATGAGCAATTTCCGGGTGGCGATTGATCTGGAATGATCCATTTTCCCTACATGTCCGTGTAGTATCTTTTTCCAAAAGTGGTCAAAGCAAAGTCCAATACGTCTAAACCATAATTAAGTCAGAAAATTAGGAAAAAGCAATTAACAAACAACCCCACCCCACGCCCTCACATGCAAATTCCATTATCTTTTTCCATTCATTCATTTTGAGCCTCCCCCAAATGCACACACATATTGTAAAGGATAATAGCGACTTCCAATAGAGACAGAGCGATGGACGCACCCGAGGTTCAATCTATTGAGACTTCCAGCAAAGACTTACCTCTTCCTCAAGAAGACGAACAAGACAAAGCTTTCAATGAATGGTAAAATCTTTTATTATCTATATATTTTGATTGATGTAATTTATATATAGTGCAAGTTTGTAAATTGTTGGTTCATGATGAATTGCAGTTGCTCCTGCTTTTATGACTGCACGGATTCCCTCATTGACTACTTTTGCTGCACCGACATCTGTTAATTACTTCAATTTTATTTTCTTCTTGTATTTATTGGAGATATGCACATCGCGCGGATGAGAATTTACTTCATTTTTGTTCTTCAGATCCGTTTCTGTGCTCCTTTTCGTTCTGAATTAACTTTATTTTCGTTATAACACTAGTCAATTTCTGCTCTCAGTTATTTTCTCCTTTTAAACAAAATTAATAATGCAAGAATATTTACTCAAACTAATTGATGATTGCTAACGAGATTTTAGCAATTAATGATTTAATTGGACTGCACAATTTTTGAGAGTTTCGTCGCACATCCCGTTCTTTAATAGTTACTGTTTGAGCTCTGTTGTCTTGATAATATATTTTGTAAGAAATATTTATTTTATTTTTTTGTTGGGGGGATGTATTGTTAAAAACTTGAAAAATATACGTATGAAATTAATTTATTTGTACGGTTTAAAATTATTTTATTTGAAGAATGTATGAATAGAAATGAGTTTGAGAAAAAATGAGTAGGGTTAAAGTTTTCAATTAACCAATCAAATGTGCTTCTTCTATTTGCGACATAATATTGGGGAGGGAGGGACGGAGAGACCAATTTGTATTAAGAGTTTTGTGAAAGTGATTTTTTAGAATAGTTAAAACGTCGGAAAAATAATGGGGATACTGAAAATTATTATTATTATTATTATAGAGAATGCAATTGAAAATAAGTTTGGAGGATCAATGCAAAATATTAGTATTAAAGTTCTTATAATGTTAGATTCATGTCATCACAAAGTAACTTTGTTATATTTACATTCTTCCTGACACTTATAATTATTATTTTAATACATTCTTTCCTATGACAATATTCATACTCTTGATTTTGAACTAATCCACGAGATCACTGAATAGATTTCCTTCCCATATCAGGGGATGTCAACCAAGTTGCATTCAAAATTTAGCATTACTCTAATTTTACCATGCTATCATAAGTGATGATTTTGTAACTTGAATGGTGACATTTCTATGCGCATTGTCGATCGATCTCCAATTCAATGTATTAGAGCTTTCAATTGAGTTTGAGCTAACTAGTGATGCTCAAGAGCTCTACAAGGGAAATATCATACTTAAAAACTAGCATGGATTTCAAATGAATCTTGAGAAAAAAAATTTAAAGATAATTTTATTTATTTTAACATGTCCAATGGTAAACTTAGTATCCATTACATTGAAATATCTAAGATAGTTTTACTAAATTATCATAAATATTGGTAAGTAGTATAGTTTAGATGGCACCACTATTCGAAATCCATTCAGCATACTACGTGACATTACTCAATTATAATGACTAAAACAATTCTCTAAGTGATGAATTTAGTCTAAAATTTTTAAGTGGTAGATTTTGAGATTTACTTGAGAAAAATTGTTATAATATAAAATTTTATTATCCCGAAATTTGAGTTAAACTCAACATACGCATATCAATACCATACATTTTCATTGTTAGAAATATGAGTTTACTCACTTGAATTAACTAAGATTTTTAAGGAGGACAACGCTAATAGGAAGAAAGAAGTGAATAAAAGCAAATTTATATTTCTCAACTTTAAGACTTACACACTTTTTGGCTTGTTACAAAATGGAGGACACTACCTCTTTATATAGTGTTTACATGAAACTTCTAGTCCACACATTTTTTCTAAAGAATCGTAGACCACATATTTATATTAGACTTTTAGATCACACATTGGACAAGATATTTTTTCAGAATACTCTAGATCGACTTTATAAGACCACATATTTTTCTTGACACATTACCACATTTATTACTATATATTTTGCTTAGATATTTATATGGATTTTTCTAGTAGATATTTATATAGATTTTTCTAGATGATTTTTCTAGAAATGTTAGACATGTTGGGTCTTTTAATTGATTTGGGACCTATGTACAAAATCTTTAAACCCATATTATTTAGTCCAAAAATCAAGTTTACTATTCAACATGCACTACTTGCACATTCTGTCACCTAGAATTCATAAATTCTCAGTGGTCAGTAGTAAACCTCATTTTCATAACATTACATAGAGGAAAATGCTTTGCCCATAAAAAATATAAACGTCAAAGCATGCTAACTAACTTCGGAGCAAAAATGAGACCATGCACAGTTTAAATTTAAATTCAATTTTTTAGAGTAATTATTTAACCCAAAATTGACTTGAACTAAACTTCTACCTTTCTAATTTCTTAAAAAATGAAAATTTTTCTATTCATTTTTTTTCCAAAAAAGGAAAAAGTAATTCTGAAAGGTTTTCTGTTTAATTACAGCAAAAATCTAAAACCCTAGGAAACTAGAATTTTAGGAACTGATTAATGTTATTTATCTTCATCGATAATAATTATCATTTGAGACAAATAGCATTACCCTTTAGGAACTATGAATTTTGCTATTCGACTTTTCGTCTGACAAAATCTTTGGATTGGTCTGGTTTGGTCCAATGCACAATAAGGGGTTAAGTGGAACAAGCCGGGGATTGAACTGAGCGGTCATAAGAGTTGGATATATAGCAAGAGGCTCGAATTTTGGCTAAAAAGTGCAAATTTCGACTTATTTAAAAAAAATAAAAAAAAAATGATGCGGCTCGACACGCCCCTCAAGTTGCATGTTAAATTCCAACTTGCATGACTCATTTTCCATTGTCCTGATATATTCTTGCTGATTGTTTCTTCATCATTTGTCATTTAACCTTCTTTTTCTTTTGATATTAGTATAGTTTATTGCACTTCGATGATCAAGTTAGTGTTGGAGATATTACGTGGATAATGCGTGTAAATTATATTTTCAAACGTACATTTTACGTGCACGAAATCGAACTTAGTTTCGAATTATAAAAAAGAGATTTGAGAAGGCAAAATGATAATTACCGAAATCGAATACGTGACAACGGATTCAATCCCCTCCATTCTTCAAATAAAAGACATTACATTCTTTAATTCAAACCTTATATGAAATCAAAAGAATGTTAGTCAATTTCTGAAATCAAATACTAGGTTAGAAAGAAATCAGAAAGAAGAGGAGATGCAAGTGATGAGATTGATCGAGACAAGTATTTGGCACATTGTCCTTGAGATGAATTTGCCCTGCATCGGTGCTAGCGATTTTTTTGACAATCATCCTCCAATATATAACCACGTCAAGCCATAGGAGCACTCCAAATTGTTTAGACCAACGAACTCGAACGGAATTCTCTCTTTACCAATCTTTGAATTTTACGTAAAGAAAACCACTTTTGATGAAGTGTTTTATGCAGCATAAAATGGAAAGAACGATATAGAATGTTAAATAAACGTCCAAGGGATCCTATATATAAAAGTGAAGAGGTGTGGTTGGAGAGACAAACTCCACACTTGGCATTTTTCATGAAAAGTTGCAATCAAAAGTGTTGCTCGCCTACTGCTAGATCGCCACTAAAGTGATAAAAGTAGAAACCTTGTCGCTCCCCAGGCACTAGCCTACCGCTTGAATTTTCTTCAAGTTTTGGACCATAATTTCTCATTCACTCGGAATTGATTTTAACATTCCAAATACACCACAATGATCTACCTAACGAGTAGAACAAGTTAATATATTTACTTTTATAACTTGACTATCGAATCAAATCCGAATATTTGGTCGAAATTAACATAAAGTCACTTTCCAAGTTTTATATCTAACCAAAATTCAATTCTTAAAACCAAATCCAACAATCTCCCATATTAATGAAAATTCCAAATATGTAAATGACAATGCAGATACTAGTAGAGAGAGAGAGGGAGAGAGCGGAAAAAAACATTTCATCAAGTAAGGTAACTTCGAGCTTTGAACCATCCTTAATGAAATACTATTGCATTTATTTGACTAATTGGTGAACACGATGTTTTGAACCGTTCAGGCGTTGGTATAAATTAAGATAACAATATTCACACAATGTTTTCTCTAAACCTTTCATGGTTCTCATAACTTGGGTTTATTTTGGCCATGAACCACTACCATTCTTGGATTTCATAAGTGTTTAGAGAATTTTAGCCTCGAAAAGTTCTCATTGAAGCGGGCCCACTTCACACTTAAATAGGTGATATCCTATTAAGAATATTCTGTCCTACTCCATTTGAGTTAATCAAGATATATGAATTATTAAAAGAGTATTCTAACCTTTAATCACTCGGAAAAAAGCATTTAAATATCATAGGAATGAGTTAGGAAATAATTTTATAAGTGTTTCATTGAATCTTCATAACTTAATTGTCCATTTGAATCAAGATCTTGAGATCTCCAGTCAATAAGGTAGAATCATCATTATAAAGACTCTTACGTAGTAGGCTTTAATTTCATTCCTTTTGATATGCAGTAAACTTGATCTCTTGGTAAACATATATAAAATAGATCCACAAGTTTACTCCAAGGAGTTCAACTGCTTCTGGTAATGCGTCTATGATATATATGTCTAGACTTACCATTGTATGTGACTTAGTATCTTATCAAATATAGCTAGCCAATGATTGATTCATTTAATAGATACAAATTGTCACAAAGTAAGAAATCCTCTTATGAAATTACATGCTTCTCACTAGCTTTATCTAAAACTTTATCAATTCTAAACAACAATGTTAGAGGATTTTTATCAAACACTACACTAGTCAATCACTTTTACTAGTGAATTTAATATATGGATATTCTATTTTCAATATTGAACTATTACAATGCATTTCTATTTTATGAATATTTTTCAAATATTCCAATTGACTTCCATATCCAAATAAATGTCATAATAGACTTCATCCCATTTCATCCACTTTAGATTTAATGTATATCATCCTTATATTTAGTATAAGGGTATTATACCTTTTCATCTTTATAGATATCTTTTAAACTAAGTTACCCTACGATTCCTCAATTAAAATGTACAACTAGTAATGTTGTATCTACACATCATGAATTTTTCATATAAGTTCACAAGCATTAACGTTTACCTCCCAATCTTTGGGTTGTACTTGAATTTAAAGTTCATCAACTCTTTCATAGTTCAATTCATTTATCACATAGATACTATCGTTATCGAATGCTTCGTAAAAGTTTGAGTACTTTCAAAATAGTGGTCGTCAATTCACATAAATGAAAAATTATTTTCCATTCGAGATTGGACTTTATTCAACTATA